AGCCAGGCTGTTATTTTTAGATTGGCCCTGCTGTCGTCTCCTAGTATACCTGATCACTCATCTGTATAGTGGATTACAAATGACAGAGGTGTTGTCAGGTGCTAATTGAGGGCAAGAAGGTGATCATTCAAATCTCATTATATAAACTATTTTATTTGAAAAATAGGGTGGAGAAGCTGAATTATGGCTTCCAATTATTTTTACTCATGCCAAGTACTGCTTTAATATTCAAATTGTGCAGTGCAATTTAATTGGTTGTAAGCTTTTAGGATACAAGCTAGATGACAACCCAAAATGATTTGCAGCTATTACTTAAAAGTCCCATGTTATACTATATTTGAACAATATATTATAGGGCCATATCAATACAAAACATGTCTCTGGAGTATTTTGCTCAAAATACCAAACAGATCACCCATTGTAGCGTGCCTCATACCCCTCTAGTTCAGCCCTGTTACAAAAGTGCTGATTCATAATAGGTGACCTTGTGTGGATTTAGGTTTATGTTTGAAATGCTATACTTGAATGCCAACATGTCCTTGTTTGTCGCTTTTCTTTTTTGTTCTTCTTATTTACAATGCATCTCCAAGCTACTGCATTTAAAAGTACAACATGTACTATTTCTAAAATACTTTCCAGACTGCTCTGCCGTAAAGACCTATCCTGTGGAGTGTGCCTATAAGATCTTTAAACGCCTTCCTCATTACACACTTGCAGTATTTGGTGCTTACTTGTGCTTTTTTTTCTTGCTGAGCCAAACACCAGAGTGTCACTCTTCTCTGACAGACTGTCTCTCCCCTTCTTCCCTCCAGCGGCCCTGGGTATCGTCCTGACCAGCGGTTGTGCCACATCCAGACACTGCCAGCAACATGAGCTTCCAGGGGTGCGCATCCACTGCTGTGACTCAGACCTATGTAACAGTGCCCCCTCGTGGTATCCAGGCACACTCCAGTACATCTGTGCACTGCTCAGCCTCTTGCTGCTGAGGATGTGGTTGTGATATGGAGTCAAACTGGAGAGGCGCATGCCCTCTGACAGCAGTGTGGACTATGAGACAAACAACAGCTTCCATATCGACTCTTAGCTGCTCATGTGTGGTGTTACTGACGAGCACCTTGAAATTGTAGCTCACATTGTCACATTGTTAGCTTGGACTTACAGTGTGAATATGTTTGATCAAAAATAATGGGAAAGCGGCCTACAGTCATCCGTGAATTTATTGTGCACATCCACTCACTCACATGTAGATGAAGTACAAGGATATTGGACACGTGTTACCATGAAAGAAAAATATCTTTGTTAGTTTTCAGACATAAGTTCAGCAAGATACTCACCAATGTTTTTACTAAAGGCTTTCATCCACCTGTACTCTAAGGCATACATCAATGTTCATCTTCTTTCTCAAGGTCAAATATTTATGTGCAGTAGATTCTTTTTAAGTTTGCAAAAAATATTTTTTTAGTTCGCTGTCCAGTTCTCCAGGCTAAGCTTGGGAAAGCACACTGCATGTGGTTCTATGTAGAATTGTAAGAAATATTGTACAGTGAAAGCATGTCATGTTGTGAATTACTGTATTAAAATGTTTCATATTTTTCAAAAGAAAAAATGCTATGAAGTTGAATTTTTTGTCATATCAAGTCACCATGAGTGTCAAGTGCTACACACAATTAGATCCAATTAAAATATCTTCAATATAGGAATATAAATAAGATTCAAATGAATTCAGGAGAATTACCTTAACTGTGTTAAACAGTAGGCCAACCGATTGAAAAGTGAATTTATGTGCATATGAAAATGTATTGCTAAACAATAAGTAAATATCCATTATTGGCTTATATTATCATGTCATACATTTTAGAGGTTTTTTTTCAGTTGTGAAGTATAATGTTCTTAACATTATATATTTTAGCTTTATATCCTACATTTCGTAATTTTAGAGTTAGGCAGCACTGCTGGGGCAGAAACACAAGGGCATTTTGGCTAGGAGGATGCTGTTAAGCTTCAAATGTTTAATGAACAGCTCTTCTTTATTGAATTTAAAGGACATTTGTGTCCTGGCTGAGAGGTGCAATCGACAATTACAAAGTGTGAAACACTTTAACAAAGCTTGAGACATATGTACATTTTATAAAACAAAATTACATTAGCAAAACACTTTTACCAAAGAAAAAACGATTTAACATTAACAAAAACAAATTAACAAGATGCGAAAAGCTTTTACAAAGCTAGAGACAAATGTACAAGTGTCAAAACACTTTAACATTTCCCGAAACACTTTAACATTTCCCAAAACACTTTAACATTTCCCAAAACACTTTAACATTTGCCGAAACACTTTAACAAACTAGAGAATCAAACCGGAAAGGGAATGCCCATCATACCAGAAGTGACGTGCAAGTGATTGACACAAACTTAAGTTTGTTTTGGAGGATAGACCGCCGGTACCTATGGACCTTTATGGTCGTTAAACATGTTTTGTCCGTTCTGTGGAAACCACCTGGGCCAAGTGACATGGTTTTGCTCATCAAGAGATACGTTCTCGTGCACATCAGAAAGTTACAGGTTCGCCAAGTAGGAAGTGGAGCTGTGCCTTTTACACACAGCCTTCGCTGTGTTTACCTTCATTAGACAGCTAAAGAGCGACTGCAGGCTGCTTCGTTATAGCCACACACACCTCTACACACACACACACACTTCTACACACATCGAACTGCCCGATTATTCCCCCTATTACTCGTTTTATGAAGGAGATGTCCGGTCCACAAGGCGCATTACGTGTGTGTTTGTGCTGTGCTCAGTTCCGCTCTGTGTGTGTGTTCAGTGTGTTTGTGAATGTCCGACACCGGCATTTGTTTTCAAATTACCATGAACAGTCATTTACACACATCTGGCCAACTCCATAGGTATATGTGTGTGTTCCTAAATGAAATAAATGTGTTTTACCTTAATCTCGATGTAGTGCTCAGTGCTGTCGGAGTGCAGTGGAACACTGCAGTCAACTCAGCCGTCTCTCGCGTTTGCTTGGTCAAATCAGCAGCTCTTCATTTGTGAGTGCGCGATTAATCGTGCCTTTACATTAATCGACCGAGAAGCGGCACTGACGCTAGTACAAGAGTAAAATAATGCATGTTTTTGTGCTATATTTGCGATAAAAATATGTTTTACCATAAGTTCTTAATAAAACTGACACTGTTGGACTCAGTACTAGTTTGACTGCTACCAACAATAAAATGAAATCAAAGTCCCCTCCTGAGAAGAAATTCAAGCCACTTCTGCTATATTTGATGACGGATAAAAGGATTTTTAGCCCTAAGTTCTTAATAAAATTGGTACTGTTGGACTCAGACTACAACCACAAATACAATGAAGTACTTTTACTGTGTACTTTTTGAGTAATACTCTGTCAAACTCCCCTCCTGAGTACAATCATTCATGTATTCTGCCATATTTGTTGAGGGATACAAATATTTGTTACCATAAGTTCTACATGAAATTGATACTGTTGGACTCAGTACTACTTGGACTACTACCACAAGTACAACCAAGTATTTTTACTATGTACTTTCTGAGTAATACTTGGTTAAACTCCTGTCCTGAGTACAATAATTAATAGTTCATATACAATACAGGAATTATTGTACTTAGGACGGGAGTTTGACCAAGTATTAATCAAAAAGTACACAGTAAAAGTAGTTGATTGTATTTGTGCTATTAGTCCAAGTAGTACTTAGTACTGACTGAGTCCAACAGTATCAATTTCATGTAGAACTTTTTGCAAAAAATCATTTTATCCCTCAGCAGAATACATTAATTATTGTACTCATGAAGTATTGACAGAGTATTAATCAAAAAGTACACAGTAAAAGTACCTCATTGTATTTGTGGTAGAAGTACTGAGTCCAACAGTACCAATTTTATTAAGAACTTATGGCTAAAAATAATTGTATCCCTCAGCAGAATACATTAATTATTGTACTCATGAAGTATTGACAGAGTATTAATCAAAAAGTACACAGTAAAAGTACCTCATTGTATTTGTGGTAGAAGTACTGAGTCCAACAGTACCAATTTTATTAAGAACTTATGGCTAAAAATCATTTTATCTCTCATCAAATATTGCAGAAGTGGCATGATTTTGTTCTCAGGAGGGGACTTTGAGAGAGTATTACCCAAAAAGTACACGTTAAGTGTACTTAAGTACTTCATTTTGTTGTTGGTAGCAGTCAAACTAGGACTGAGTCAAACAGTGTCAGTTTTATTAAGAACTTATGGTACAAATTATTTGTATCGCAAATAAAGCAGAAAAAACATGCATTATTTGACTCTTGTTGCCTACTACTAGCGTCAGTGCCGCTTCTCGGCGATTACTGTAAAGGCCCGATTAATTGCACACTCAAAAATGAAGAGCTGCTGATTTGTCATTTTGTTTTATAAAATGTAAATTTGTTTTATAAAATGTACATTTGTTTTATAAAATGTAAATTTGTTTTATAAAATGTAAATTTGTTTTATAAAATGTAAATTTGTTTTATAAAATGTAAATTTGTCTCAAACTTTGTTAAAGTGTTTCACACTTTGTAATTGTTGATTGCACCTCTCAGCCACCGTACATTATCCTTGAAAGCAAAAAAACATAAACACAAAAGCTGTTTTTAAAACAGGCTTAAAATGCAATCAGTTTGAATGCACAAACTTGTGGGAAAGAAACCAAATAAACCAATTTAATAATTTGGTAATAAACCAAATACCATTGTAAAAAACAGAAGAAGAAAAAACAGATATAGATGTAAACGATATAGAGCCATTGCTCATTTGTACAATTTACTACGCTTTGTTACTCAAGACATAGTCTGACCTAGGTTAATTGATTTAATCAAATTCATGTAGCCTACTCAAGTATTACCTGATTTCATCTGTGACGGTTACATAATCTGAAATGGCACTTTATACATAGTAATTGGTATGCCAGTGGGCCTACGCAATGCAAGAATACACCTGTGCAGGCGAGGCTGCAAATCGCCGCATATGATGCTCTTTATCCCATCAGCCCATTGTATACAGCGAAGGAAACCCTGTGCCGTGAGCAGCCATCTTGGATAGACAGATCATCATACTTGAGCCAGGATAACCTGGATTCCTCTTCTGAACAGCTCAAGAACACAAAGCTCTAAAGACTTAATATCTGGTAAGGACAGAACATAGGAAATACTTTAACAGACAGATACACAGACCGCCCGAGTAACGTTGAGATTCTGGTAATAAAATTATGGAACGATTTGGACTGTGATTTGGAGCTAGCCTGTGTTTTCCAGCTAACTGGCAAGCTAACGATGCGAGCTATCAGCTAACAGATAGCTAATACTAGGTTGTTTTTTATGTTAAGCTGCCAAGAATTTGGATACATTACACATTAAACTGCGAAAGAACACTCATCTATGCAAAACATTACGTGCTCATCAATTACTTAATATAGGCTGACATGCTAACTAAGCAACGCATTTACCATAATCCAACACTCGCAGCTAGTTTACAGCTAACTGGCATGCTATAGCTAACGTTAGTTGTCGTTAGTTTGGTGTATGTTGACTTTTGTGAAAGTATGCAGAAGCCAAGTTAATTCACTAACCTTATTATAACAAGTGGAAGGCATTTTATCAATTCCCCTTGTGTAGATATACGCAACCGATTTACGTCTTGATATATAATCGTATGTTATTTGTTGTCAAGATGTAGCAGGTAACCAGCTAACGCAAACTTAACTGTCAAAACGGCTCATTTAGGGCCTAGATTGTTATTAGACGCGATCATGTGCTGATGTTCTAACTTCTAACCAAGTCAATGTCCAGATGTTCCTGGACATTGATATTTCTAGCTTGTTGTTTGCTGAATAACAGCAGAGATTTAACCAAACCGATGCTGTCACTTAGCCGGTTGTCGGGCTAACTAGCCACGGTCGTTGTGAGTTTGCATGACGTTACCGTTACAATGTTGAATACATGAGTTAACATCGGACACTTTAGTTGGGTTTGTTTGGATTTGTGAATGCAGACGGGTTCTGTTTATAAGTCATAGCGTGATCAATTGTTCTACAGCAATGGGAAAAGGGTCCGATCATTCCTTAGCCAATGTGTTAGCCTCCTTGTGCCTTTCCAAGCAGATGTTTACAATAAATACACAACTGAAGTTGATCACAAGTACACCATTCATGTCTTAAATGTCTTCACGGCTAAATCGGATTTTAGCTTTAGTATATATTGCTGCACCATTTCTGTTTATTGTACTTGTGCAGTCTGTGTATAAGCAGGCTTGATCTGAAACTTGAATAACAACGTTGCCTGTTATTTTGTATTGATTTATTTGTATACAAGGTTTGTAAAACCTCATAAATTCGATTTGTATGCATTGTGAAAGTGTGCTTCGTCTAGCCGGCAAATGGTAGTGATCTCATTGTGTTGTTTCACATAATTTAGTCACATGATTTGAAAAGTTGGCCTCAACATCAGGGAGGCACTGTGGCCATATGTGTGTCATGATTTCCTGATGGCCCAGATTTACGTCGTGCACCATTACTCTATGGGACATGGCTCTGACAGAGGAGCAAAGGCAGGGAAAGGTTCAGTGTGTTGGGGAGTGACAGAGAAGTGCTGATGCTGCAGTCTGATCACATGGTCTTGATTCGCCTTCTCCTTGATGGATACTGTTTGGTTTTGTTTCTATGTAATGAGCAACAAAGCTGAAAGAATGGGTTGGGTATCATTCCTGAAAAACATTTGGCTTTAACTGGTTTGAGGATACATTCTCTCAAGGTATACCTTCCAGAGCAGTGTAAACCATAACACTGACTGGGTATAGAGACGATCATGTGACTGGAAGCAGCCTGGTTGAAGGCCCTCAGATTTTGGATCTTTAAAGCATAGCAATTATGTCATTTCGTGATTTGTTAATGGCATCTTTCTCATTTTGAAACCCACTCTTCATTCACTTATATCAGGCTGTCATGTTGGTGTTTTTTAAGTGCTGAACTTGGACATGCATTTGTATTCAAAACATTAGTCATAGGGATAGATTCCCAGATCGTGTATACTGATCACAGAAGAAGTTCATAGTTCTACATATTGCTTTTTGCTTAGGTTAGCTAGCTGGTGTTAAGCTCAGTGATAACCATATGTCAGGTCAGGTTGCAGAGTTTCTGGGGACTGTGGGTGTGAGCCAAGTCTTGACTGGACACCATCAAAAACATCCCTTCAAGTTGTTTACATCGTTTGTAAAAAGAAAAAGACGAAGGAACATGCTTTGAGTTATCTTAGTTATCAAATGATATGGTTTAATCTATTCATATAAAATGTATCTCAGTCTGAACATACATTTTCTCTTTTTCTTAGGCATAAGATTGTCAGTGCTTTCCTCAAAGCATGTTTGCTGGACTCAGTATGAGCCATTATGATAGTACCAACCTGAACTAAGATCATTTTTATTAAAGCAGTTTTCCTCGACCTGAATTAACCTCAGTGAAGTTGCACTGCAGCGCCTCTTTATTTCCTGTCTCTGATCCTCTATGTTCTCCCACTTACTCTATTTTCTTATGCTACTGAAAGTCTACACCATTTGTCCCTCTCTTCTTTCATCCTTTCCTTTTTACGGGCTTGCTCTATTTTCGTTGCTTCTCTGATTCTCACATCACACCCAGCCACATTTTGTCTGGTTGTGTCAGCATTAATCCAGCCAGTAACACATAGTCACTGAACTGCAGATGAAGTATTAGCATAAGACCAGCACCAGGCTCTGATGTGGCAGAGTGATTCCTGTTTCCAGGAACTGCTCTAGCTGCCGCACAGTTTTCTCTGAGCTGTAGATCAGAGGCAAGCACACGTTCAAGGCAGACCATCTTTGCCAGGGACACGGAAACCATCAAGGCTGCTGAATGATTACGCTCCTGATTGTTAAGGCTGAATGATTGACTTCTGTACAGCAGTTACACTGTATGGCAGTCTGCAGCACCTTGATACAAGATTATGAAGCAGCCTTTATTTAGGAAAAATACAACATGGGCTGGATATCTGGAGATGGAGTAAAGGGAAATTGCTCATGAGATAAACAACATGCTAAAACGGCTTCAGTGATGTCACACATGACCTGATCATTTATATATATGATCCAATCTGTGCATGTTTAAAGAAAGAGCATCTCCCCATGGCTGTTCAACCAGTGTACTTTGTGAAGGTTCTTTGTGGTGATATTGTGTGGTAATTCTGAAGGCTTTTCCCTGCGTGCTGTGAATGGAGTGTGAACAATGAAGCATCACTGTGTATCAAATGGGTGTCAAGGCTATGTTTAGCCTAACTCTGACAATATGCTCCTGGAGGTGTTTTAATGTGCATGTAAAGAAGTGTGTGCAGTGCCATCAAAACTAGCAAGTCTCTCTGTGTGGCTCTGTATTTTGTGGAAGAGACAGAGAGGCGAGACAGTGGTCTTAGCATCCACAAGTGTGTACTTAGCACTGAGGAGCTTTCTTCACCCCTTCTTGCTAAAAATAACCCATCCCCTCACTTTGTGTACATTACCTAGCCTAGGTAACTTATTAATACTGCTAATGGTTGTTTCTGAGCCTCTTAAGGAGGGAAAGAGCAAGCACATTCATCACTTTATTATTATCAGTGGGTAATACAAAATTGTGCAAGATAATAAGGTAATTACTCAATCAGTGCAACAAACTATTTGGTTATGTACGGTATCCGTACAGAGGTTTTGTGTTTTTATTTCTGTACTTTAGTGTGCATTGATGAAGCATCTGGCCTGCCTGGGACAGCCATTGTAACAGTCCTCTGCTCTGATAGGATTAAGGTTGTTGAATAACACCGGCCCTTACATGACCAATTTAAATAGACGTCAACAAGTCTGCTATTTCATTTGCACTCGGAGATGCTCAAATTAGATTTTTTAAGGTTGTATTTTTGTTGATAATATATTTGTGACTAATCTCTGTGTAGCGTAAATGTCTATATATTTTTGTTATTCATAACATATGTTGTATTATTTATTACTGTGGCAAGTTAACCTTAATTAAACAAATGAACATTCCTGAATCAGTAACCCAGCATGCAGAATAAATGTTGAGTTTTGGTGACTTTTGTCATGGTTTGTAGATATAAGAATACATTTGTACTTTTATATACAAAATAACACCTCACAAATGACATTGAATTATTGCCCTTGTCTGAATATCTAGAAAATATCTAAGAAGTAAAAGTGCATATTGCCTTTCCTCACAGTTTACGTGCCTAAACTTCCCCTTCTCTTCTCTCTTTCAGAGCCACAATGGCCACCGCACCGTACAACTACTCCTACATTTTCAAATACATCATTATCGGTAAGTGAACGATGCTCTTCATCGATGCCATGTTAAACAGCTTTTGGTTACAGTGCATTGATTTGTCGTACTTTCTCAAGAAGCTCCAATAAACCACGATCTATCTTTACTGTATGTTACCCTTTACCAGTGGCGGCGCTAGGGGGCGGCTACTTGGGCTCAAGCCCCGGATGTTTTCTCAAAAGCCCAGAATGTTTCACTTAAAGAGCAACTTGCAGGGTTTTTTTTTTTACTAGATTTATGCTTAACCTTGCCTGAAAATTACAATTAAAAAAAAAAGTTAATGCAGGATTTGATATGTTTTACGAGACAGGAATTCAGAGGGGAAAGGAACCGATTTGAGCTCTGCTACTAAAAACTGCTTTTTTTTTAAACGTCATACGTCAAACACGTCACATGGGGGAGCAACTTTCTCGGACTCCTTCTCTGCCCAATCCGCGGTAGTAGTTTGTAGTTGGTTTGAGCGGTTGTGATTTAGTGAGCTGGTATTTTTTCGGTAATTTTATGAAATTGCATTTCACCATTTTTAATCATGGTGAGCTGGAGTTAGTGCAGGTTGCACAAACTCCAGCCTGTCAGGACATCGAGTCCACAGTTTCCCTAACAGGAAAAGGACCGGAGCTAGCTTTCGTTCCTGGGTGCGAGGTGCATCCACCTCCCTGCAGCACATACTCTCCACAGCTGAGGCCTATCAAACAAAACGTTTATCAGGAAACCGTATTACATCTCTCTCCCCCCCCTTCGCTCCTCTCTCTCTCCCCTCCGGTACACAGCGCCGTAAGACGTAGTGTGGAGTTGCATTAAGTAACGCGAGATACGGCTGATACTTGCGCATTAGCTTCTGTTATGGATCAGTATCAACAGTCCTGCCAGTAACGTTACTATATGATCAATACTACTTTAGTTATAGCCTGATATATGATAGCTAACTTTACAATGTTGTGATGTGACCGACGTTAGCTAACATTAACTGTAGCTAACGCCGGTCACTCACCAAGACAGCTGCCCTGTTCTCCACTGATTCTCCTCACACCACAACTCCATTTCTCTCCGATGGCCGTTATTTCTTCTAATCCTTGGCTGCTCCTGGTCTCTTGGCCGCCTAGCAGGCTCATCATTATAAGGTTGTGGTCCGTCATATGCATTCGAATATACATTTTCAACCTCTTCTGTGTCAAAACTAGCATTGTGATCCATGTTTATTAATACGTTAGACCGGCCGCTCAACCCCATGTGACGTCACACGCGGGTGGTCTTTTTTCAACTTCAAAATTATGGCTAAGCCCCGGATCTCCTACAATCCTAAATCCGCCACTGCCCTTTACACTGAGTGGATCCAATATATAATGCTATATGTAAATGAACTACTCTGTGCTGCTTATTAATTACCCGTTTAGAATGCACTGCAAATGTGTAATGAATTATTAAATGCCTTTCCCCTATGAGACTTATGGTCCACTTTTAATAACACGAGCGCTTTTAGTGAACATACTGCTGCTTTTACTTGTACATACATTCACAGACAGTATGCATAAACAAACACCCACCGCTCTGGGCTACCCTCCTCTTCTGTGAAACTTAAAACACCCTGACTCAAAGCTAACAGTCAGCTCGGATCTTAAAGGGAAGTGTTTACGAGTCTAAAAGAGTAGCCTGTGAATTTCTAGAAAAGTGAAGCTAACTCACAGCTTGGTTGTAAAAGGGAAGCTTTTAAGGTCTTGTGATCCTGCTTGTTGCAGTTGCACACACTTGTATAAGCTTCCTTTGATTGTTCTAGCTTAGTAAGATGAACAGCCGTTGGTGCAGCCTGGAGTTTCTATCCAAATGACTGACATCACAGCATTTCCCTATCTTATAGCATCCCCAGAGGCATCAATATTGACACACTTTCAAGATGAATGTGTTCAGTCAAAAGAATGTATTGCTTGCAGCATTGCTTTTCTGCTCTGCTGTAGGGAAAGGACTCATGACTCACTGATGGTTACACAAACCGGATCAATGCACCAAACACCTTAACATGCATCGTCAACATTTCAACAGTACACATGATACTCGGTCTGTCTTTTCACTCCACATGAGATGTTAAGTATTGTCGCTGACTGTGTGGCTGATACAACATGCTGCAGGCTTGAATAAAGAAACTCTGTTATTTCCTCGGCTGACCTGAGTGTTTCTCTCTTTCTCTCCACAGGGGACATGGGGGTAGGGAAGTCATGTTTGCTTCACCAGTTCACAGAAAAGAAATGTAAGTGCTGCCCTGATTTTGACTTCTCTTTTTGCGTGAGCTTGCGCATGTGAGTGTGTAAGGTTGCCAGGGTTAACTGGAGTGCCCAAATCGCTAAAGCTTTCTTTATACGCCAGCGGAAGTGAGAGGCATAGAAGTGGAGTGTGAGCTCAACAGTAGGAGACTCTTCTTCTGCGGGTGACTCAGCTGCAGCCTCCCATCACCATTCAGCTCCGCTTTGTTAGAGCTACTATTGACGAGCCAGATGCTGTGTTCCTCATTCACTTGCCACCATCACTTCCTGCATACACACATATATTGGTGGGGTTTAGAAAAGGTTCTCAGTGTCAGTTTAAAATAAATGTACCGCTTTCTGGGCGTTGATACTTTGAATTTATAAGTGAGTATGATGACTCTAAAGACTGTGATTAATTGATTATGATTGATGCACCTGCATGGCTGACATTGGAGGTGTGTGCGAGTGTGTGTGTGTGTGTAAGAGAACTTGAACACACTTCCCTTCACACTTACTGTACATGTTCTCCCTTTTTTTAAACTTAAAAAAGACAAATTATTGCTAATTCAATGAAAAAAAATCAATTGAAATTAAACTATAATAAATGCTGATACAGAAATGAATAAAGTTAAATAATGTAATCAAAATTGAGGGTATAAAATGGCATTAGTAAAACTAAATGACCCCAAGAGTCGTCTTGAATTCATCCTCACCTCACTTCCTCTCCCCAGTCATGGCGGATTGCCCCCATACGATCGGCGTGGAGTTTGGTACGAGGATAATCGAGGTGAGCGGGCAGAAGATCAAGCTGCAGATCTGGGACACGGCGGGGCAGGAGCGCTTCAGGGCGGTCACACGCTCCTACTACCGCGGGGCCGCAGGGGCGCTCATGGTCTACGACATCACCAGGTACAGGCCATGGTTCATTGTTAAGGTCTGTGAGAGATACGGTTACTACGCAGCATCGAGTTTACACTAAAGCTCAAGAGGAAGGTTAATGGATGCAAAACAATCTGATAAGCACACAGCCCTCCACTATAGACTCCCTCCTGAACAAAACATACGTTAGATGGCATCAGGGGTGTGCCAAATAAACACAGCTCAACATGTGGAATGTCCCTCCACACCACACCCACTGCAGCAGAGCCTAGGAACAGTACTTAACTGGGAGAGCTAATATTATTGTTTACATGCCTGTTAATGTGGCCACTCGCGGCTCCTGCTGGGCTAATTGGAGACATATTTGTTGTGTCAATCTTTAAAACACACAGCTGATAACCATATCCTGTTATTAAAGGGTGTGGCTTTTATAACCAGTTTATTTGTCTATTATTGGCTGTAGTTCAAGTTTGGTCACATGGTATATGCTACAAGCTTGTTTAAAGGCCCGGACACACCAAGCCGATTTTGGCCGTCGGTGGGCATCAGGCCGGCGATGAGCGCCGACACGCCCTACTCAGATTGGTGTGTCCCGCACCGCCGTGTCTTTTCAGCCGTGCCGACGCCTTTTCGGCCGAAAACATGTTGAATCGGCGGGTTTTCGGCCAAAGGCAGTCGGCAAAATAAATCCCTCTGATTGGCTGTTCAGCTTAGCGAAACAGTGCATGAGAAGCGAAGCGGAAGTAAGGGACCCAAACAAACTATTAAGAAGGCAAATCTGAGATTTCATTTAACTCCAGCTCTGGACACAGATTCGGGAAAGCCCCATGAGCTTCTCGTTGGAGAGTGAAAATGGAACGCACACGCCATTTGTTGTTTGTTTATATCACGCAGTCTGTTCTTCTTCTCTCGGTGTATCACGCAGTCTGTCTTCCGGTTGTTGCCTCTTTTGAATGACGAATACACACTACCGCCGCCTGCTGGTAAGGAGAGTTATTGCCACTCACGCATGCGCAGTTCGTACGTGCTTCTTGGCCGTCGGCTGAAGTCTTTGCGGTGTGTTCCAGTGCGACACATGGCCAAAACGCAGAGACGCGACGCGACAGTCGGGGTCCGTCTGTGTCAGTTCTTTGGTGTCAGCTTGGTGTGTCCGGGCCTTAAAGGGTACAGTGTCAGTCAGTGCAGTTAACTTCAGATATGGGAATGCACTGATTCATTGGTAATCGGACAACATTTTAATCCTAAACATCTGTATTGTTGTCAGGCCAGAATTTCACAATCAATGCTACCCTCATTTTAGAGCTACCATATCTTACTGAAAAACACCTGACTCATCTGTGCTTTGGAACCAGATCCCTTGCATGATTATTGTCACTAAGATCAAACTGTATGAGGAAATGGTCCATTTAAAGAAAACGGGAAATGTTAGATTAGGCTGAAACCAGGGACGGGAATTGTCAATTCCAGAAACCCCTAAAATGTTCCCTATCTGAAATGAGGTTGTGTTACTGTTGCTCTATCCTCATCCTGATTGTGTAGCAGCTGCCGATCCTGATCCCTCCTCAGACGGTGGCATCGTTAAGTCCTCTTTGCCTGTTGTCATAGTAACCCCTATCCCCTTTGTTGATGTCATGCAGGAGAAGCACGTACAACCACCTCAGCAGCTGGCTGACTGACGCCAGAAATCTCACCAACCCTAATACTGTGAGTACAAAGATATAGTAAACCTCTCTTGCTCCTGTGACCTTTAAGTATCCCCCTGTTGTCACTTCCTCTGCTTCCCATCCTTTTAGTTTCCCCTGTGTCATCCCCCCCGGGCCTGTTCAAAGCCACAGAGCCCTGTCCATTTCTTAAATTGAATTTCTTGGTAAATGTGATTAGCTCTAAAACACACTTCTCTAATTTACTGAACTGTGTCGCTTCAGGGAACTGTATTTCTGAAATATGCCACGCCAGGTTTTGAACATCAAGTAAAAATGTTTTCCTGGTATATAAACAACAGAGGTTTATTTGTGTCGAGCTATATTCTTACACATCATGTAATGGTTTCTTGTTTCCCCTCTCATCTTTATGGATAAATATGCCCACAAGCTTATTAATTATGAATGTTATTTGAGACATGGGTTTTTGTGGTGTCCTTCCTGTCATCTCTTACAATAGCAAAGTAGTAGAAGCAATCTGCAGAAGCATCTTAGCCTCGTTTTGTTTTCACTGAGTTTCCTTGAATCAGCCGTGTGATGGCAGTGATGGAGTCATTACCACTGCAAGTGTCAACATGTGTTCCTGCTTCACAGAGATCGTGTGACTGCTGTTGTTTGAGATGGGGAAACCTAATGAAAACATGATCTGATCATTTGACTATCACTGGAGTCTGAATGAAAGCAATAGGTTGTGTAAGACTTCTTGGAATTAAGAAAGAACTTCTAAATATCTTGGCTCACTAACAGCCAGTAATTCAAAAAGTAAGATTTAATTTGACTTACAGAAGTATTTGTGTAGATTTGTGCCTATTACTTGTCATTGGATAGAGCACTTTCTCCCCAAAAAAGTTTAAAACTCACCACAACAGCACAGTGAGGATCATTGTGAGAAGTAAAACACAAGTTGTTTATTCTCAACGTGCTGCAGTAGGAGTCTATGGCGAGTCTGCCACTGCTACAACAAGGAGGCTTATTACATTACATGATTTCATTACAGGTCTAATTGCATCAGTTGCTAGGGGCGCAGTCTAGTGTGTTTTGTTTGTTGTGTGTCTCTGCTCCTCAGTGTATTCCTCTATCCATCTCTTAACAGACAACAGCGTAACAACTGCTCTCGGAACAGTGTTCTAATACTGCCTTCTAAGCTCTTGGAAAACACATTTCTCACCCGCCACGTTCATGTCTCTGTTCCTCAGGTGATCATTCTCATAGGAAACAAAGCGGACCTGGAGGCCCAGCGGGACGTCACGTACGAGGAGGCCAAGCAGTTCGCTGAGGAGAACGGTGAGACAAACGGAACATCAGGAAGAAAGGAACGAGGAATATAGGCGGAGGAAATATTTAGCTTTGTGGATTTCAACATGCTGTTAGACTTTAAGGAATTAACCAATCGGTAAATCAGTCATTCTGCAAAGACCTCTTTCAAAACTGTGACTAATCAATCCTCAATTTCAACACTATAATCACATTTCCAACAAAATGTCCAAATAGTAAATAAAATACAGCAATAATGAGATCCAGCCTCTCCAGCCTGTTTATAACAGGAGCCCCTATGGCTGATTTCAAGATGAATACCCCTAATATCCTGGCTGGGACAGAAACTAGGAGAAGGTGACTTGAGGAAAGCGGGGATATTAATCAAACGAGCGGGCGATTGAGAACTTGGCACTTGAGCACTGTGAGCTTTTAACAATGTGTTACTGAATGTGTCATTGCGTCTGCTTTATGTCCCCCAGGTCTGTTGTTTCTGGAAGCCAGTGCAAAAACGTAAGTCTGCTCCGCCTCAGCGACTCTCTGCTTACATTCTCTAACTCCCAGTTGCCTCCTTTCTCACATTTGTGTGTTTTTTTGCTCCGTGTTTCAGAGGTGAAAACGTTGAGGACGCCTTCCTGGAAGCCGCCAAGAAGATCTACCAGAACATCCAAGATGGCAGCCTGGACCTGAACGCCGCCGAGTCGGGGGTCCAGCACAAGCCGTCGGCCCCCCAGGGCGGCCGGCTAACCAGCGAACCACAGCCCCAGAGGGAAGGGTGCGGGTGCTAATGACCAAGCAAACCCTCGTCATCCTCCCTTGCTCCCTCCTTCTCTCTCTCCGTCTGTCCTGCCCACCCTCCCTCAACCATCCCCCCCCCCTCTCCATCCATTCCTTCACCTCCGTACGTACGTCCATCCCCCCTCCTCCCTCACTGCACCAGGAGCATGAGAGCAGGGCGAAGGACCGAGGGATGGATATCGACTGGGGCCAGACTGAGCTGGGCTGTGTGGACTACATCTCTCCCCCCCCCTCTCTTCCTTTCTCTCTCCCCTCCTCTCTCTAAAATCTGTCTGTGTGTTGTCGTCCCATAACTCTCCTCTTTTACTCCCCTCCGCTCCTCTCGCACCATTCAGTGTAGTCCCCCCCCCGTCACAGTATGGTAGACGCCACCACACGGGTTACCGACACTTTAGATAGACGTAACGTTCACATGATAAACCGAGACTGTTTTTTTACGTTTGGTTTTATAGCTGTATATGACATGTAAACACTGCATTAAGTTTCATCCACCGCGCATCAGTTCTGAATGAATCGGATCTTACATGTAGTCTCCTAACATCCTGCATGGTTTACCACTCGAGCATTTGACCGAGACATGCGGGTGCGATATCTCACTCCCTCATTTTTGTGGGATCAGACAGGGAAGGAGATGCAGTCACACAGGCAGAGGGTCTCGAGTGTGTTTCAAAGCCGAGAGAGCGTCTTCAGAAGGATTAAAACCTGCTTGTGGTTTTTAATTCTGTTTCTGCTGCTCGGCACCAAGAGAGTTCCTTCGCCAGATGTGGCCACACTGATGTTCTCAGGAGAGAGGAGGAATACTTTACAAAACCAGGAATTGCCCACAAATTCCTTTGGAAGTTATTCCTCAGTCTCTCCTGAGAAATCACAGGGAGAAATATTTTCCCGCCTGTCTGTTTAGTGAGAGTCTGTGTTCTCTAAACCAGCTCTCCTCGCCCGTCCGACCCCCCCCCCCCAAGCTCTCCCCCAAGCTCTCCCCCAAGCTCTCCCCCAAGCTCTCCCCCAGGTCATATCAACAGATTCTGTCTTTACCAGCATTTTCTTTGTCTTTGTTTGTTGCCTTACTATAATTCATGTTACTACTCTTTCATCTTTATTATTGTATCGCTGCACTTGCTCTTCACACTGCTGTTGGACTCACCCCGAGTCAATGAAATCAACTCTTTTTAGATAAAGCATTTTACCGGAGAATAAAAATGCAAAGTGTTGGTTCACATTGTACAAAAAAATATCAGCAGCATGGTCAGAAAGTGTCAACACTCCTTTATCTCTGGCACTGCACTGAAGAGCTGATCTGTTCCTTTGGGCGGTTGTTCCTCTGCCTTGTATAGTACAACACCGAGCAGCATGCACCCCCCCCCCCCAAACACCCTGAAATTATCACAAATCCAATTATGTTTATTTTTCAAGTAAAAAAAAAAACGTTCTGTACCATAGTGATCCCTGATTGGACAGCTGTATATATCGCTTCTTAACTATCGGTGATGACCTCGCTACTTGGAAATGTAGACATTTTATTTGCTGGCTCTGCCAAGATCTGTACAGTTGATGTGCTTAGTGGGTTGCCTGTAATTCATGCTTGGGAAATTCTGTAACATAGTTTCTATTAATAAATGTACGTAAAGGACAGACACCTAAACACCCCCCACCCCGTCTGCACACTACTGAACCTGTCGATTGGTTGAGGGGAGAGGAAGTGGATTGATATGATGTGAAAACTAGTTTTTATGTCTGCAAACTCTAATTCTCTCATTTCTTTATGGAGTGGAGAATGGGGCACTTTAATGTTTATATTCTCTTTTCCACCCCCACCATCCCTCCTCCACATGGGGAGGGTCCTGCATCGCTGTCTTAACTTTTGGGGAGTGGGGATTGGTTTGTTATTGTGGGAAGTTGGTGGGCTGGGTCTTCCTTTTTCCTGTGTCCCACCTCTTTGCAGTCCGAGTGACCACTTCCTGCTTTTGTCTGTCCACAAGTACAAAAAAAGTACATATGTATAAATTTGTAAGGAGCTGTGTTAACATTTAAATGCGTTGAGTGTATATGATTTTAAAATGTTGACATTTTGATTTTAATGACAATACTCTAGAAAGAAAAATAAATTATACATAACCTGTTGCTGTGTCTCTGTTGTTGCTTTGAAAACAGAATAGATTGCTCAAGTTGAATATGAATTACTGCGATTAAGAAAAAAGCACCAGACTCTGTTATGTATTTCAAGTAGCACAACTGCTTTGTATTTTATTGCAACAAAAATTGCACCAAGGCTAGAGAGAGAGAAAAAGAAAACATATTTACAAAGGAAAGCAAAGTTTGTCTACAAAATTGGTGAGAAGACTTAGACATTAGAGTAGTGGTATGGTTGAAAAGGAGAGAAAAACAGATGAGCCGACACTGACAGTACCATGTTGAAGTCAAGGCAGTTAACGCAGACAGGGCATGGGGGTGTTACTGAAAAAAGATGTTACAGTGGATATTCATGGGTATTTTAGTCTATAATGGTCAGCTTATCACTTTTGTAAGACAGCAAGTGACAGATTTATCAACATTTCAGTCCAGTGTTTCCCCCAGGATATATTTATTTCTTGCTGGGGTAGAAAGGCCTCAAACAGCATCAGGACCACGTGTCATTAACCCTCCAAAGAGCCCTTTCAATGGTGAGAAACACTGATCACTCTTTACAGATCAAACATGGGGGGGGGGGGGGGGGGGGGGGGCTGCTACTGATGGCTTTTGTGACTGGCATGTAGAGAAAGTTGAATTAGTTTTACAAAAGTAAAAAAAAAAAGGTCCAGTCTGAGGACAACATAAAAGTCTGATCCACAAAGAAGCAGATCGTGCACCCTGGTCCCTCTCCAGTATCGACTGGAGACAAAGGTTTTTGGTATGGCAATAACACAAGTATATCTAAAACAAACCAACACAGCTACCCACTCTGCCACATCTCTGGAAAGTGGCAAGTCCTAAACAGCTCCGCCAATAGTGTTAAAGGCACTACTTGTCACCAAAGTGTGCAGTGAGGCAAAAAAGGTGAAAACCAGAAGCTCATTCTGCCTTATTTGCTTGCTCCCATTATTATTTTATGGCACATGGTTGCAAATACTGCAAAAAGCATTCATACAGAACAAACACTGACGCGTTTTCATCACTCGGCACACAACCCAGTCACTGATGAAGCAATGCAACATGTTGGACAGAGGCATCAGGTTATAAACACTGTGATTCCAGATGCTCCCTAATTCTCACAATGTGTCAACAGAAATATGAGATCAGTCGTTTAAAAGTTAGAAGGCATCCTAGAACAAGATGAGGTTAAGGTTTTTCTCATTGTCATTGGCATCGATGAAGAATCATACTTTTAACAGTGATATATCAAAAGGCCTCTTCTACTAGTGTCATCGATAAAGGGGGAGAACACAACGAGAATACATAAGACATGATCATTTCAGAAATGATTGGTGAAAAGTCATGTTGATAAAGTATTGGCCCCTCGCCTCTCATAAAAAGGCCAAAAGACAGTTCATTCATGGTTAAGGCTTTTCAATATTGCATACTCTGACGCGGTCTACAGAGAGATTCCTTTGATTCCATCCACAGTAACAACAGGCTTAAGTGTTTCGGAAGTGAACTGTAGTGACACTCCGCTCTCACGCAGGCTTTACCCTCCGACAGCTCAGCATGGACTGCTCAGAAAAAAAGAGTAGTGTAGGAAACAGTTTTATATCAGTTTTACATCTTGGTAGCTTTATGGCGCTACCTCTGAACAATGCCACTGATCTCTTTGACGGACGACAGCAGCTTGCTGAAGTCCTGCTGTGCGTTGGCGCCCCCTGTGGCGGTGGGGCAGATCTGCAGCTCCCGCAGGCTGTTCTCCAGCTTGTTGATGGCCTCGCGGAAAGCGAACTTGTTCCTCATCTGCTGTATGGAGTCCACGAAGCTCACGCAGTACTTGGACAGGTTCTTGCCGGCCTCCAGCACGGCGCTGTGGCTGCCCGTCTGCTCAGAGTTTCGGCAGATGGCCGTGCGGAGCCGCTCGGTGCCTTCCAGCACCATGTCCCGCGTCACGGCCGAGTTGGGGGTGCGCTCGGTTGCCTGGCGGGGGGCCGTCTTGCGGAGGGAGCGCCGGGTGTTCACTAGGGGGATGAAGGCGGTGGGCGAGCATAGGTCGCCGGGGCAGGTGAGGGAGGAAGAGAAGCCTCCCAGGCTCTGGCTGGAGAGGGAGGTGGTCACTGAAGAGGAGGAGGCGGAGGTCTTTAACGGTTGAGGTTTGGAGGTGGAGCCCAGGGACAGCTTCTTGGAGCCTTCGCTGAGGGGGGAGCGGGCTGAGTCACTGGCAGTGGTTGTGTGGTGGGGCTCTGAGGGAGAGGGGAGGCCCTTAGCTTTGATGTCTGAGGGGGAGGGGAGTTCTGAAGTGGGGCTGCGGGAAATCTTGCCCGATTTGGCGTTGGTGGGTGGCGGAGGTGGGGCTGGCTTGGGTTTGTGTATCTTTCCTCGTTCCCTGACAGATTCCCCGGAGTGCTTGTTCCTGCGGGCCCTGCACTCGTCTCCAGCGGCCCCCAGAGCGGGGAACACGTTGGGCTTGAGGAGCTCGGCGTGGAGCGCGCTGGTCTTGGAGTTCTCTAGTCCGGGCAACCCCAGTCTCCGGACCACCTTTGGTGTTAGGGCCTGGGGACTGGAACCAGGACTGGGATCAGTGTCTTTGCATAAGAAGGAAGAGGAAACGTCTGAAAGGATGTTCAGACGTGGCGGGGGAGTGAGGGTCCCCTTTCGAGGGGCGTTCTCCCCTTTTTGCTCACTGGTTCTCTTGCGTGGAAGGGCTGGCTTCCCCCCGAAGGTGCCCGAGTCGAAGTGGCGCTGGCCGAGGTCCCGGGGCAGCGTGACGGACTTCCACTCGGTGCCGTCAGAGCCGCTGGGCATGCTGGAGGACCAGAGGAAGCGCTTGGTGTTGGACATGGGCTCCTCCTCGCTGGGTGGGGTTGTGGCTGCTTTCCCTCCAGGGCCAGGCACTGCAGGAGCTCCCTTCTTGCGTGGGAACAAAGGCCCCGGGTAGGTGGGGGCCCCGTTGGTGATGCCCCCTGCCCCGTTGTTGTTAGGACCCAGGAACTTTGCGGAGTCGAGGCCATGTGTGATGTCATTAATGGTCAACGAGTTACCGTTGTTGAAGTTGTCGCCGTCTCGGAGATCTGGAGTCATGCCCCTTCTCTCGGGGTGGATGTCCATCTCTCTGAAGGACGAGCTGCGTTTGGGCGGAGCGGGCGCATTCTTTTTCTTTTTCTTTATGAGACTGAGAAAGCCACGACTCTTGTCCTTGTCTTTGGGTATCAAGCGATCGTCCTCATTCAGGTTACTGTCCAGCAGGGGGCGCTCTTTCCTGGGGAGCATGGGTGAAGACACAGCTACATCCGGATCCAAAGGGTCTGAGGAAGAGCCCAAAAGAACCAGAAAACGATTAGTGATGAGGAAGAAATACCAAACTACAATTAATTCAACGGGCTAGAGAAAATGAATAACCATTTTACCCAGCAGTGGGTGTAAGTGCGTCTCACCTGGACTATCTCCATCCCGGTTGTCCATGTTTTTGCGGAGAGTTCTGGTTTTGGTGGGCAGCTGTGGTGCCTGCTGGGTGGGGCCCCATGTCGCCTTCTTCCCTTTCTTTCCCAGCTCCTTTTCCACCTCTAAAAGTACAAATACAGACAAGATTCAACACTATTATCACATCTTAATAACTATGATAGAAGAACCAACAAAAACCACCAGCCTCAGGGACAGTTTTTACCCCACAGGCAATAAGACTGCTAAACGCCTGAGCTCTGATAAGTGCCGCCATAACCATTCATCTGTTTGTCATCTTACAATGTATTTATCTAAATAGTTATGACTGTAATAAACCGTATTTAATTTCATCTTGCTGTACATTATTTAATTTTACATCCTGTTCTTGTATATATCATAT